TTTTGCTTTTGTTGCCCAAGCTGGAGTACAGTGGCGCAATCTTGGGTCACTGCAATCTCTGCCTTCTGGGTTCAAGCAATTCTCCTGCCTCAGCCTCCCAAGTAGCTGGGACTGCAGGTACCTGCCACCACATATGGCTAATTTTTCTATTTTTAGTAAGAGACAGGGTTTCACCATGTTGGCCAGGCTGGTCTTAAACTCCTGACCTCATGATCCACCCACCTCAGCCTCCCAAAGTGCTGGGATTACAGGTGTGAGCCACCACGCCCAGCCAGGCCTTCGTATTCATTCACCACTCACTCACTCACCCAAAACAACTTTCAGTCCTACAAGCTCCATTCATGGTAACTGTCCTATACAGGTGTATCATTTTTTATCTTTTATAGGGTACTTTTACTGTGGTATGTTTGGATACATAAATACTTACCACTGTATTACAAAAGCCTACAGTATTCAGGAGTAATATGCTATACAGGTTTGTAGCCTATGGCAGCAACAGGCTATGCCATATATCCTATGTGTGTAGTAGGCTATACCATCTAGGCTTATGTAAGTACACTGTATGATATTCGCACAAGGAAATCACCTCACCACGCATTTCTCAGAATATATCCCCAATCGTTAAGTAATGCATGGCTGTATTTTAAGACTTAATTTTCTAACAGCTGAAGTACAGAAACTTAAATGATCAATGTATATTGAACTTATATCCAGATATTTTGCTGAAATCTTTTATTTCTAATAATATGTCTGCAGATGCTCTTGAGTTTCCTACATAAAAATCATTTCTTTGAATCATTAGAGTTCTGTTCTCTCATTTCTAATCTTTTCTTTTTCTTATCTTACAATGCTGGCTCAGGCCTCCACTACCATGCTGAAAAAAGAGATCATACATCTAGGTTTTTACTGGATATCTTTTGCCAAATTAAGAAAGTTATTTTCTGTATCAATTTTGCTGAAGTGTTTTTTTATTATGAAAGATAATTAAACTGCATAAAATGTTAATGCAATGAATTATATTAATGCATTTTTTTATGTCAGCATGTTCTTGAATTCCTGAAACAAACCAAATTGATAATGGCATATTATTTTTTTTAATGTATTACCAGACTGTTAGTGTTCCTTTTCTCAACAAATGGCATCATCATTAATCCTGTTACTTAGTGTATCCATAAAAGCAAGAACCATTCTTGACCCACATTCTGTCAATTTGACCCCCTAAATATCTTTTATATATATATTTTTTTCATAATCAGGGTATTACTCTGTTGCCTAGGCTATAGTGCAGTGGCATAATCATGGCTCACTGCAGCCTTGAACTCCTGACCTCAAGTGATCTTCCCACCTCGGCCTTCAAAAGTGTTAGAATTACAGGTATGAGCACCATGCCTGGCCCTAAGTATCTCTTGAATCTATCTGCGTCTGTCAATTTCTACTTTCACCTCCCTAATCTAAACTACCACAATTTTTTTTTTTGAGATGGAGTTTCACTCTTATTACCCAGGCTGGGGTGCCATGGCGCGATCTCAGCTCACCGCAACCTCCGCCTCCTGGTTTCAAGCAATTCTCCGTCCTCAGTCTCCTGAGTAGCTGGGACTACAGGCATGTGCCACTATGCCCAGCTAATTTTTGTATTTTTAGTAGAGACGAGGTTTCACCATGTTAGCCAGAATGGTCTCAAACTCCTGACCTCGTGATCCACCCACCTTGGCCTCCCAAACTGCTGGGATTACAGGCACAAGCTAGCACTCCAGGTCTCACAATTTCTTATATAAATTGCTGTAAGAGTCCCCTAACTAGTTCTTGGCACTTACTTTCATTTTAAAACAACCCAATTGAAACGTAATTCACACCGGCATGGTGGCTCACACCTGTAATCCCAGTACTTTGGGGAGGCCATGGCGGGTAGATCACCTGAGGTCAGGAGTTCAAGACCAGCCTGGCCAACATGGTGAAACCCCATTTCTACTAAAAATACAAAAATTACCCAGGCATGGTGGTGGAAGCCTGTAATCCCAGCTACTTGGGAATCTGAGGGTGAAGAATTGCTTGAACCCAGGAGGTGGAGGTTGCAGTGAGCTGAGATCACGTCACTGCACTCCAGCCTGGGCGAAAGAACAAGACTCCATCTC